ATGGGCATGCTCAAGAGGCAGTAGCTGGTAAGCAAACTGTTCTATAGATGGCACAGAGTAAGCTCTTTGGATCTTATATGCTGGCTGGTCTGGAAAAGGTGATGAAACCGGAGGCTGTACTGGAAAACCAGGCTGCCCTTGGCCTGGGGCCAAATAAGTGGGTTGTACCACAGGTGGGACTGGAGAAGAAGTCTGCATAGAATGGGTTGACTATGATCCTGGTGGTTGCACAGTGTAAAGAGAATACTGTGGGGCTGGCAGTGAATAAACAGGCTGTGCTGGAGCCTGGATTGGGTAAGTTAGCTGTGATGGGTAAGAAGCTTGTTCCTGGGGACAACGGCAGCTGCCCAGGAGCCTTCAGTGGGAAGGATGGCAGTTCTGCAGGTGGTCCCGGATAAGCATGTTCAACAGAATAAGATGGCTATTCCAGGGACTGAATCACACTTTCAGTACCACCCTTTGGCTGCTGCTCACTTGCATGAGCTTCAGACACTCGTAGAATACAATCCTGCTGAAACTTTTTGTAGTGATGCCATAATCTTAAGGTTGTAAAATTAATGGCTGCTGCTGCATAGAGGCTTGGAAACAAGGTTTCTTCAAATGCACAGTCTGGCTTTGTGGCACTAAAGAACCTAGAGCTATAGATTCCTGATGTAGTACTGGATATGGGTGGGGTACTGAATGTATCTTTTGTGAAGGCTGATTGGCCCCCGAATGCCCCCCAGTGGAATTAGAAGGGAACTGAGCTGTACCAGCAACATTCTGTGCACTGATCAGGTATGGGGCAGAATGACTTGACAAAGCTTGAGGACAATAAACCAATAAGAAACTAGAAGTCTGATTAGTATCTGGTGATACAGTCAACGCCTGCTTTCCATTTCTAGGGCCAGGCTCAAGTTGAAGACCAACTGTTAGATGCTCGGAAGTCATTTGTGAAGCAGGCAATGTCTGAGGAGAAACTGCAGAAAGACTGGTTGTGGAACTCCAATAACTGGCAAGTCTAAAATCATAGATTAGGCTGAAGTTTGTCCATCTGCTCCAAGGTCAGCTGCAGTTCCTGGTTCTTGGTGCAAAGAAAATTCAAATTATAAATGCATATGCCATGCCAATTTTAATGCGCCTGTCCCAGACAGAATGACAGATAAAATAATGCTATGTTCTAAAAATCTTAGCAAGTTATTAAAAAGGTGCTGGGTATAGTTTTAGTACTACAAAAATCCTTAATACCATGAGTAAATGCTAGTTGAATACATTAAAGGATTGAGACCAGTCCCAGTAATATACTGCTCATGGCTTCTCATTTATTTCACTTGCCACATAACTCATTCAAACCCTGGCAGAGATTCAGAGTAACCGAATCTAACACTTTCACACACCAGAAACTGGAAGTTCCAAGAAAAAGCTCAAAAGAATTTCAATATCATAGCTAAAATGAACACAGAAGCTCTCTAAAGAGGAGAGCAGAGAGTTGGCTGAATAAATATAGGTTGGTTGCAGTAATTCCTAGAACTTGAACTACCACATTCATAAGAAGACACCAATGGTCAAAGTGCTTGCTTATGTGGCTTCTGTATGTGCTGAAAAAGTCTAAAAAACAGCATGTGAGGGGCGCCTGCGTGGCTCCGTTGGTTAAGCAACTGCCTTCAGCTCAGGTCATGATCCTGGAGTCCCAGGATCAAGTCCCACATCGGGCTCCCTGCTCAGCAGGGAGTCTGCTTCTCCTTCTGACCCTCCCCTCTCTCATGCTCTCTCTATCTCATTCTCTCTCTCAAATAAATAAATAAAATCTTTAAAAAAAACAGCATGTGATATACAGATGTATATATAAACAAAATCATGTATGTATACATAGGGGAAAAAAAGACAAATCTAGTGGCTTTACCCACAAATGTAAACAATAAGATGTTTCTAGCTGGAGAAATAACAGGTGATTTTCACTGTCTATTTTATAATTTCATAGGCTTTATTTTTAAATAGGTAAATAACACTCATAATAATTTTTAAAACTTAAAAAAAATTTGAAAACACATTTTAAAATACACATATCTGCATACTTATGTGGTTGAACCTAAGTTAATTTAAGTGTCCATTCAATACACTTTGCATTAAAATCTTAGGAAGAAACAAATCAAACCACAACAAGAGCTCAATTATGAATATGTATCATGTTACCTATAAACAATAGCCAAATACCAGGCTACTGTCAACTCCATCAGATTAAATTACCCCAGCAGATTTTGAATGTATCTGACATTTGTCAAGTTATGTGTATGCCTTCCCCTATAAGACTGTGAACTCCTTGAAGGTAAGAACCATATTTTATTTTATCTTACATCCACAGAAATGGTAGTCATTAAAAATTATTGATGAGCTGTGACTTACTATATACCAATCTCTTAAAAGAAACAGATGTGCCAGCTGCTAACTGAATCATATACAGAGAATGTTCAGACCATCTCATTCCCAAATAAATAAGGCACATGCAGGGGAGGATGAGGTTGAGAAAAGAAAATGCAGTGATGGCAAAGAAAAGCTGAACCATGTGTCCAGGCCTCATAACCTTGGGAACCAGAATATAGTCTTAATATATGAACTCTCATAAAGACTGTTTACTCCTTCCTTGTCAGAAATGAATAATGCTGACCTTTAGAGTCAAAAAGACAAAAACATTTATTTCTCCTATAGATATGAACATGAATCAAAAAAAGCCAAGATCCAATAGAATCAGTATCCAAAATATATAAAGAATTTCTATAATTCAACACCAAAACATACAAATAATCCTATTTAAAAATGGGCAGAAGACATGAACTGATATTTCTCCAAAGAAGACATCCAGATGGCCAACAGACACATGAAAAGATGATCAACATCACTCATCATTAGGGAAATGCAAATCAAAACCACAATGAGCTATCACCTCACACCTGTCAGAATGGCTAAAACCCAAACCACAAGAAACAAGTATTGGTGAGCACATGGAGAAAAAGGAACCCGCTTGGGAATCCCCCGGTGGGGACGCAAACTGGTGCAGCCACTTCCATTACTGGGTACCCCCCCCAAAGAATACAAAAACACGAATTCAAAAAGATATATGCACCCTGATGTTTATAGCAACACTAATTACAACAGCCAAATTATGGAAGTAACCCAAATGTCCACTGATAGACGAATGGATAAAGATGTGGGGTGTGGGAGTGTGCGTGTGTATGTGCGTGCATGCGTGTCTGTATATATATGTGTGTGTGTATATATATAGTTTATATATATATATATAGTGTATATATAGTATTGTGTATACATATATAATGGAATGTTATTTGGCCATAAAAAAGAATGAAATCTTGCCATTTGGAACAACATGGAGGGATCTAGAGGGTATAATACTAGGTGAAATAAGTCAGTCAAAGAAAGACATATACCATATGATTTCACTCATATGTGGTATTTAAGAAACAAAACAAAGAAAAAAAGAGACAAAACAATAAAACAGACTCTTAACTATAGAGAACAAACCAATGGTTACCAGAGGGGGGGGGATGGGTGAAACAGTTGATTGGGATTAAGAGTACACTTATCTTGATGAACACTGAGTAATGTATAGTATTGTTGAATCGCTACACCTTCACTACACCTGAAACCTATTAGAACGCTGTATGTTAACTACACTGGAATTTAAATTTTTCAAAAAGCCAAGAATTTTTTTAAAAAGCCAAAAGGTTTTTTATTAATCCTTTTTTTATGTTCAGTTAGCCACTGTATAGTACCTCATTAGTTTTTGATGTTGTGTTCAAGGATTCATTAGTTGCGTGTAACACCCAGTGCTCATCACAACAACACGTGCCCTCCTCAATACCCATCACCAAGCTACCCCATCCCCCCACACCCCCTCCCCTCCAGCAGCCCTGTTTGTTTCCTGGAGTCCATAGTCTCTCATGGTTCCTCTCCTTCTCTGATTTCTCCCCCTTCAGTTTTCCCTCCCTTCCCCTATGGTCCTCTGTGCCAATCCTTATGTTCCACATATGAGTGAAACCATATGATAATTGTCTTTTTCTGCTTGACTTAGTCCACTCAGTATGATCCCTTCCAGTTCTATGCATGTCGATGCAAATGGTGGGTATTCATCCTTTCTGATGGCTGAGTAATATTCCATTGTACATATGGACCACATCTTCTTTATCCATTCATCTGTTGAAGGGCATCTCGGCTCTTTCCACAGTTTGGCTATTGTGGACATTGCTGCTATGAACATTGGGGTGCATGTGGCCCTTCTTTTCCCTACATCTGTATCTTTGGGGTAAATACCTAGTAGTACAATTGCTGAGTCATAGGGTAGCTCTATTTTTAATATCTTAAGGAACCTCCATAAATTTAGATGAAAGTGCTAAAAACTAAATAAAATATTATTTTATTTTATTATTTCTAATTAACTATGAAAGAAATCCCTCCAGGGGTGCCTGGGTGGCTCAGTCACTTAAGCGTCTGCCTTCAGCTCAGGTCATGATCCCAGGGTCCTGGGATTGAGACCCGCATCGGGCTCCCTGCTCATGGGGAAGTCTGCTTCTCCCTCTCCCTCTGCCCTGCCCGCCCCCCCCAAGCTCGTGTGCACTCTCTCTCTCTCTCAAATAAATAAATAAAATCTGGGAAAAAAAGAAAGAAATCCCTCCACATTCACACTGGGCTAGAAAAATCTAATACAAAGAACAAATCATCATCACCAAGAGCAAGAGATCTGAGTCCTAAATAAGTTTGTTTATCCATCTATGGAGTTCTCACTTTCTTTTCCAATTATACAAGCAGTGTCTCAAGATTCTAGTTTCACAATGTTAGGCACATCCTCAAGAACATCTTTGGTGAAGGAAAGCATAAACAACTTTTGGCTTTCAGTGTGTTTTATACAAACTATAATGAAATTATGAAAGAGAGCCTTTGCCTGTCAGAAAATCTAGGCAGTGTTCAATATGTTTAACTGAATACAGAGTCTCTAAAATATATCTTACCTTTATCTGTGAGACTTTCTGGACAGTTAATGGGGAAACTTGGGGTTGTGAGACAATCGGAGGTCCAAGGACATGTACAGGCAAAACAGTGGACTGACCTTGAACCAAAGGCAAAATGTGGGGCTGAGTCAGCTTTGGCTGCTGTTGCAACTGTTAAATAAGAAAAAAAATATATTAAAGATAAACTCTCCCATTTACAGTAAATATATATGGATTATATATTTAAAATTATAACAGTTCACCTCACCCCTGAAATCTGCTGGTAATGTCCTACCAGCTGCTGGGATGGATAAATCATCCCTGGAACATTTATTTCAGCCTGTGGGATGTTGGAAACCACTTGAGAGCCCATCATCTGGTCTGAGGAATAGGCTATACTGGGCTGACTTGAAGTATCTGAGTGTATAGCAGATCCAACTCCTGCCTCGGACAAATTGTCACCTACGACAAAGAAAATAAGCAACAGGTAGAAGGAAAAACTTGAAACACAAGGTCCAAATGGTATAGAAAATAAGTGTTTTCTATGTTTTTTTTTACTCTGACAACCTGAGACAACTTGAAATAAAACATGTACATTACACAGTTAACCAAAAAACATTATGTAAACTCTCCATGCTGAAACTGTGGTACAACTAAAATTTTCTTAGTAAAGCAAATCTAAAAACAAAGAATCACATAAAAATCAACTCCTTTTGCTGGCCATTATCATTTATACTGAAAAATACTCATAAGTCACAGGAACTGGCAATACCAGTTACTTCCAGAACTGGGTAAAGTCAAAAGAGATGACTAAAATAAGGAAGACTAAGTGAAAGGATTGTGAGAAGCAGTTAAATATTTAGATCCCTGTGCCCCACCCTCCATTCCACACATTTGGGTGATTGCTTCTCCCCTACCCAACTAATCTCATTTACTAATTTCAGTAAAATCCAAGTGTCATATTCTCATTCTCCTAGAACCTGGCTAGAAAATATTACTGTCTTTATAGAACAATTAGTTATTACTATGAAAATACTCTGTCCTTCTAGAGAAGAGAATGCATTACAGCAGAAAAATTAGAGGAACTATGATAATTTTATACTTGAGTCTAAAATACAAAGGATCTTAAAATCTATAAAATTCCTTCTTGAAGAATACATTTTCCCTTTAATTCCAAATTTTCTTTATTAAAGGATTTACATTAGACCTTTAAGAATAGTAAAAAGATTATAATCCTTATTCAATTAGCACCTTGGACAGGTCACATAACAAAACAGTTTCTTAATTTTAAAATAAGGAAACTAGCCGGCTTGTCTATTTCAGGGATTTTGTAAAAGGACTGATGAAATGATAGATAACAGAATGCTTTGAAAAACACAAAAGTAGGGGCGCCTGGGTGGCTCAGTCATTAAGCGTCTGCCTTCGACTCAGGTCATGATCCCAGGGTCCTGGGATTGAGCCCTGCATCCGGCTTCCTGCTCGGCGGGAAGCCTGCTTCTCCCTCTCCCACTCCCCCTGCTTGTGTTCCCTCTCTCACTGTGTCTCTCTCTGTCAAATAAATAAATAAAATCTTAAAAAAAAAGAAAAACACAGAAGTACTATTTTGAGATAAGAGAATACAATTACACATTTGTTTGCTTTTATAAATTTTAACTGTTACCTGTAACAGAGGAGCAGTGCTGCTGTGGTTTTCTTTGTAGAAGCTGTTGTCGAACATGTTGATCAACTTCAGTTTCTTCACATTCAGCCCCAGTGTGCTGAGCAGGAGCAGGGGGCAAAGCTGTATTCTGGGGCTGAGGGAGTACATTCCCTGCAGACTTGCACTGGGATTCCCTGCGTTCTTCCAAACAGCCAGCTGGCTTCTTCTCCCTCGTCTTCTTTATCAGGGTGACCCGGTCTCTAATGGACTTAGCAACAGCTTTGGAATCACTTTCATGGAAGAATCCTGACTTGACCTACAAACAAAACATAAGCAAACTACATCTTTAACATTTACAATTTTAACTTTTTACTAGCAGAGTTATTTTGTGCCCCCAAATTCCAAATGCTATTAAATAACAGTTAATTTATTTACATGTTCCTTCTTTTTTTTCAATTCAATATAACTGACAGTTTCAGGTGTACATCATAGTGATTCAATATTTTGGATGTACATCTATATTCTTTCTTAATCAGACATACATAAATTCAGAGCCTTTAATCAGCATAAGAAAAACAATACCATTACCAAACATTGTTAAAATAATTCTGGCTTTAAACAAAAACAAATAACTTGATGTTTCAGTACATGCAGTCTTATTACAGATTATTTGTGACTGTCATTAAGGTTTGTGAAAGATTAAAAAGGTTTCCTTATTCAACAACATTAAGTGTCTACAATGTGCCCAGTACTGGACTCCAGAGACATATAAGTTACTACGTCGGTCCTTTGTCCTGTATGAGCACACAATCTGGTGGTAAGATGGTACAAATTTAACTTAAAATAAGGTAGAAATGAGCTGCTGCAAAAGCCCTAAAGGAAAAAGTAGAGACAGCGTCACAGAGAAAGGTAAACTCTGACTTGAATTAAAACAAAAAAAGGAACTTGCTGGCTATTAAGGGAGGTGTGGACGAAGTTTAGAGATCCACACTCTAGGCAAAGGGAAATATGCTCACAGCAAAGTACTACATCTTACCAGGCATTAGAAGAGTGAGAGAAGAGAAGTTAAGGGCTTGCTGTCTGAGAAGAGCAGGGCTGAGTAGCAGAGAAGATGACTTGAGGAGGTGTCATGGCATATCATTCTCAGTCCTACAATCTGTTTTTTAAAGCATGTCTTGGGGGTCTGCAGACTCAGGGAAATTTCGTGGTAGTTGAAAGATGATTAAAATGTTAGATGGAATCCATATATTTAATTTCATTCCCTCCCGAAGCTCCAAAAAAACCCCATACTATATGGATTTTTAAGTTGTAAACCCAGAAGGACAGGGAGAATAAGAGAAAGACAACAGCAACAACATTTTGGACACTCCGGAATGTGGAAAACAGATTAAGTAATAAGTGACCTAGCAGTCCTGAAAAAGGTAAACTAGGGAAAGCTGAGAAGCATTATCACTTATACCGAAAAATACTCATAAGGCACAGAAACTGGCAATACCAGTTACTTCCAGAACTAGGTAAAGTCAAAAGAGATGACTAAAATAAGGAAGACTAAGTGAAAGGGTTGTGAGAAGCAGTTAAATGTTTAGATCCCTGTGCCCCACCCTCCATTCCACTCCTTTGGATGATCGATTCTCCCCCTACCCAAGAAGCCTGGAGTTTTGTTCTCTGGAGAGGATAAAAGAGAGGATCTCTGGACTATGGAACACCAGGCACAGTTGAGGGTAAGGCTACCGTGTGGAAAACAAGATTAAATGAGCATATGTATGCTGAATGCCATATGCAGAAACCTTTAGCCCTTTTCCCCACTTGACTACCAAAATACCAGTAACCGGACCCTAACCCTTCAGGAAGGACATTGAAAGATGATTCTCTGGGGAATCTGACCATTCCAAGAAGACAGACCTACAAATATTGATGCCAGAGATTCCCTAATTAAAGATACCATCCAGATACCCTACGGTACTGGTTAAAGTTAACAAGTCTGACACAAGCAAACACATCATCCAATAGGCTGTAAGTCCCTGTGGTCGGGAAAATTATGGCCCCTCAAAGATGTCCCATCCTAATCCTCAAACTTGTGAATATAATGAGATATCACTCCCATTATTTTGCTATGAACAGCTGACCTTAAAATAGGGAGATTATCTGGGTGAGCCTTTTACCAGCTGGTAATTCTAGGATTCAACATGACATTGCTGACTTTGAAGATGGAGTGGGGATACATGAAAGGACTGAAAAGCAGCCTCTAGGAATAGAAAGTGACCACCAGCTAATAGCCACCTCAGTCTTACAACCATAAGGAACTGAATTCTGCCAACAACTCGAAAGCAGTCCCCACCCCCCCCCACTCCCCTCACCCTCCCCACCAAGAGCCTCCACATAAGAGCCCAGGCCACCAACACCTTGATTGCAGCCTGTGAGATCCTAAGCAGAGAATCCAGTGAAGCCCACTAGGACTTTTTATCTCCAGAACTGAGATAATAAATGGGTATTGCTTCAAGCCACTAAATTTGTGGTAATTTATTACACAGCAACAGAAAAAAATATAGACTCCTATAATCTATTAATTATGAGCAAGTAGCCAAGAATTATCAGAAATATCAGAAAAGCCTCTAACAAGAAGATAGAGCACAAAACCAACAAAAGCAAAACAGCAATTTGGAGAAAAGAGACTATACAGGGAGAAAAAATGTCAAAAACACTCTCTTTACTTACGTTACAGAGAGGTACGGTAATATTGCCTCCACAAAACAAAGAACAAGATGTTTACTCTAAGGAAGGAACAGACCAAAAAATAAAAAGGAACTCTTAAAATTAAAAACATGATAGCAGAAATGAAAAACTCAGTTGGAAGGGTTAGAAGGTAAAGTTGGTAATATCTGCCAGAAAGGAGAATAAAAAGACAAAAAGATGGAAACTAGAAAAGTTAAGAACATTGGAGAATTAGTCCAAGAGGTCCAACATCCAAATGATAAACAGTTCCAGAAAGAAAACAATGGGGAAGAAATCATCGATAAAATACTTCAAGATATTTCCCAGAAACTAAAGGATATGAGTTGACAGATTGGAAGGGTCCACTGAGAATCCAACACGGTGGATGAAAATAGACCCAAATCAAGACACATCACTGTGAAATTTTAGAATACTAAAGAAGAAATAGAAACTACTACAAGCTTCCAGAGAGCAAAAAATGGATCACATGCAAAAGATTCAGAAAATAGAACAACTTTGTACTTCTCAATATCAATACTGAAAGCTAGAAAAGCATGGAACAATGAGTCTAAATTTTTTTTTTTAAAAACTGCAACCTAAAATGCCTTAGTCAGCCAAGCAATCAATTAAGTATGAATATAGAATAAAAATATTTTCATACATGCAAGTCTCAAAGAATTTACCTCTCATATCCTTTCTTTAAGAAGCAGGCAGAGGAAGTGTGTCACTAAAACAAGAGGGTAAGCCAAGGAAGAGAAAGACATGGGATTTAGGAACATGAAACCCAACAGAAGAGAGGAAGAGAAGTCTAGAAAGATAGTAAAGAGAAATATCATTCCAGATTAGAACAGTATGACTATAAAAATAGACATGTTAAAGGCTATCATCTCCAAGATCCCCAATGTCAATGTTCCATCCTTCTTTTTAACCTGAGGACAGAATGCCCAGGCTAGCCTGGCTCAGACTCTCTGTACTTGGCTAATTTGACTATGTGCTGCCAAAGCTCCTACACTTTTCTTCCAAGCACTGCAGCAGCCTGAGTCAGGTGTGGACACACATTCAAACCCCCAGAAGCTATCTACTGTCATCTGCTCTGTAAGGAGGGGGATCATGGGGTGATTAGAAGTAGAGAAGTCAGAGGGGCCCACTCCCCATCCAACCATATTGTTACCAGACAACTAATTTCTGGTCCACACAATGGTCCACCGGTGACCTGACTGGTGAGCCACATGTGTACTTCCCTGAATTCACTCATGACCTCACCTGCTGACTTCCCCAAAAGCGGCTCTTATAAACACTTAGGGAAGCTGAAGCCAGATTATGACTGAGAGACTGTTCAGCTTATGCACTCTTGAGTATCTTCACCAAATAATAACTTCAGTAACCAGCTAGATGTGCGCTGGTCACTCACATTTTTAAAACAAAACAATATATTACTTGAACTATAACAAAAAGCAAAGGAATGAGTAACACAAAAGTCAGGGTAGATATTACCTGTGGTGATTAGGGAAGGGAATACAACTGGGAGGGGCATACAGGTGGCTTCTAAGGTACCGGTTATGTTCTATTTCTTAACAAAAGTAGTGTTTTATTATTCTTTATCCTGTACATACCAATTTAATGTACTCTGCTGTAGAGATGCATTTCACAATAAAAGAATTTAAATAAAGAAAAGGAGAAAATAGGGAGGAAAGAAAGCAATAAGGAGAAAGGAATCAATCAGCCCTGATATTATAAAGGGCAGCAGTGGTCAGGGGATAAAGAATAGTGGTAGGATTCACTTACCATTTCATACGCTACTTCCTCAGATGTATCTGTTTCTAAATTGAAACTGAACTCAATAGCTTCATTGTCTTTGTGCTTGCCTTTCAATTTTTTAGGGTCTTCAACCCAGAGTCTTAAAGCCAGGGATGAATTTGAGCAGTCATCTTCCTCTGCTAACTCCACCCTCAGTCCTGTATCCTCAGCAAAAAATGCGTGGTTTAGTAGGTCCCTGATAGACAACCTAATAAACAAAATACATATCTCATTATCAATTTTTTCAATCATAAACAAGATATAGAACTCTTAATTAGTAAACATCAATTATATCAAAGTAACAATCTTTATTTTAAATTTCCTATTAATTAGACCATTAATCTGCCTTGTTATAAAAACCAAATCTTATATCCAACTTATTATTTGCCAAGGATGCAAAGAAATCCCAACATGCACTGAAAGTCACCTTAATTAAAGATTACCAGTAGCATATCTAGATACTGAAGTTTAACACACCTATAAGTATGCCTAGAGAACTGGAGAAGTGCTGCAGTGTATGTTAGGTAGAGTGACTAGTTTCCCTAAGCCACTGATTTAAGTTACTAAAACTCAAACAACAGATTGTCAGCAAAGGAAACTAGTATGGTGATTAACATAACAATAAAAAAATTTTTAAAAAAAGGAAACTAAAAACTCTTCTGGATATATAACCTCTAAAGGAAATCAGAAATTCAAACTCTTTACAAACATTATAAATAGAAGTCATTGACTCCATTAACAATAATCTAGTCAGTGTACTTCACTCTTGAGAGAATGCCATGAATGAAACTAATTTAGTTCAGCAAAGTCCCTCCTCAAGTATCTAAGTCTAGTGTTTTAGGCCAAAGTATACATGCAATGGAAATGCCTCTACCTAGTATTAGAGATTAACCATCTCTGAAGAGAAAAAAAAAGGACCAGGTTTCAAAAGATTCTTTTACAAGATGGGGGGAGTTAATTTCCTTTGCTTGCTTGGACCAATTTCTAAAAACAGATACATAATATCTAATCTATATTATAGGCCAGAAAGAGCTAAAACTAATGTATTTCATAATGTCTACATAGAAAATCTCTCTTATACTATTTAAAACAGATAAAGTATATTGATAGCATGGTATCCTGTAAGTTGATGATTTTTAACCCTCCTGATCATTTTTTAGTGATCAAGGGACAAAATTAAGAGACTATTATAAAAAGAATAAGCTTCCTCAGACTAATTAGTTTTAAGGCTAAGGTGAGATGTGACACAACCAAGGGGCGCCTGAGTGGCTCAGTCAGTTAAGTGTCTGCCTTTGGCTCAGGTCATGGTCTCAGGGTCCTGGGATCCAGCCCTCTGTCTGGTGCTCTGCTCAGCGGGGAGCTTGCTTCTCCCTCTCCTTCTACCCTTCCCCCTCCTCTCACACACGCTCACTCTCTCTCTCAAATAAATAGGTACAATCTGAAAAAGAAGAAGATACAAGCAAGTTAAGCCCTCTGCCTTTCAATGAAAAGGTTGCCTATGTATTTTTACTATCGAATAATTACAGTAATAGCAGAAGATACCATTAAATACTTACTACTCTGTTAGTTATTTTATATGCATTATTATTATTATTTTTTTTTGACAGAGAGAGACACAGCGAGAGAAGGAACACAAGCAGGGGGAGTGGGAGAGGGAGAAGCAGGCTCTCTACTGAGCAGGGAGCCCGACGTGGGGCTCAATCCCAGGACCCCGGGACCATGACCCGAGCCGAAGGCAGACGCCCAACGACTGAGCCACCCAGGTGCCCCTATATGCATTATTTTTTTAATCATCAAAATAAATACCTGCTTTGAGAAACAGCTAAGTAACTTGCTCAAGATCACACTGGCTAAGTGTGAGTCCACATTTGAATCTTAGTCTGATGTAGAAGTCTGTGCTCTTTCTAATACACTAATATGCCATGAATCCTTTGGAATATCCCAGTGTTCTTTGGTAACAAATTTGCAGTTAAAATGCTGCAAAAGCAATAATCAGAATCCAAACTAAAATGGCTATTTCCACTTAGTACAACTGACCCTCGAACACCATTGGGAGGGTGCCGACCCCAGTTGAAAATATGTGTCTAACTACTAACTCCCCCAAAATTTAACTAATAGCCTACTGTTGACCAGAAACCTTACCAATAACATAAACAGTTGATTAACACATATTTTGTATGTGTTATATACTGTATTATGTTATGTATTATATACTGTATTTTTATAATAAAGTAAGGTAAAGAAAATATTAAGAAAACCATAAGGAAGAGAAAATATTTACAGTATTGTACAATGTGTTATTCAAGGGTCAACTGCATTTTTAGACTCACTTAAAAAAAAGCATGCCTAAACTCTTACAACTCAAAAACAGCCACAACAACAACAAAAAAATAAACGACCTAATTTTAAAAAGGGCAAGTGACTTGAACAGACATATCTCCAAAGAAGATATACAAATGACCAATAACCACATGAAAAGATACTCAACATCATTAATCATTAGGGAAATGCAAATCAAAACCACAATGAGATACCACTTCATAGCCATCAGGATGGCTATTATCAAAAAATGGAAAATAACAAGTGTTGGTGAGGATGTTGACAAATTGGAACCTTCATATGTTGCTGGGAGGAATACAAAATGGTGCAGCCACTGTGGAAAAAATTTGGCGGTTCTTCAAGGAATTAAACATAGTATTACCATATGATCCAGTAATTCCATTCCTAGGTATATAATGAAAAGAATTGAAAGCAGGGATTCAAGCAAATACTTATTCACCAATGTTCATGCAGCATTATTCACCATATAGCCAAAAGGAAAAAATAACCCAAGTGTCCATTAACAGACAAATGGATGGATACACAAAATGTGCTGTGTGTGTGTATGTGTTTCTTCCTTAAAAAGGAAGGAAATTCTGATACATGCTACAACATGGAAATCAACCTTGAAAACGCTATGCTAAGTGAAATAAACCAGACACAAAAGGACAAATATTGTATTGATTCCACTTACATGAGGTACTTAGAGGAAGCAAATACACAGAGACAGAAAGTAGAATAAAGGTTACCAGGGGTTGTGGGGAAGAGGGAATGGAGAGGTAATGGGTACAGAGTCTCTGTTGGGGTGATGAAAAGGTTCTGGAAATAGATAGTGGTGATGGTTGTTTAACAATGTGAATGTGCTTAATGCCATTGAATTGTACACTTAACATATGATTAAAATGGTCGATCTTAGGTTATGTATATTTTACCATAATTAAAATATATAACTACCTAGATATAGCCTGTTGGTACAATAATGTTCAGTAATAAAGCTATAATTAAACAGGCTTTACCTTAGTGGCTTTATATATTCTCAGATATACAACATTAAACTTAAAAAACTAATAAAAATGGGGGACAGTCAATAAAATATGGGTGAAAATAATTTCTGTAAAGACCTTTATTAATCATAAAGGAGGTAAAAAATCAAAAGACTAACCTATAGATTTAACTCGGCAACTGTCAAAAGCTCAAATTAACAGGAAATATAAGCTAAGACTAAAGGGATGTATCCATAAGAAAAACACAAATTGGGTTACAAATAAACTTAGAATACTACTTCTTGAACAAAAACAGCCCTATCTGCTTTACCATTATCATGACACAAGGAAATTGGTCAAATACGAAACATCTGGTGAGTTGATGGTCAATTTTTTTAAGCTATCATTTTTTTCTAAGTACTTACCTGAAGGTGACACTGCAGAAGCTCTCTACTATCAACTGTTAGAAGCAAGTTAACCTGGGGGGCCTCAGTGACTGTTAAACTGAAGGGTGAAGGTGATGAAAACTTGTCACAACACACACAAACAAAACCCAAATTTCAGTTCAAGAAAAATTCAGCACATGATATCAAAGTCTAAAATGGCAAACAACATGCACTGATATACTTCACTCTAGACAGTATGGTTTGTGTTCCATTCAAAAGTAATACCCAGTATTATTCAAAGGTCAGAAAATGACCCAGTCCAAGGTAAGAGTTTAATGTATCCATTGGTTATATCATTTCACTACATTTGTACCCACCTTTCTGATTTGTTTTGGCGAATACATCCTTCAATGATTTCTTTCACTTCAGGATCAGTGACTTTATTGAAACTGGCTGGTTTTATGCCCTGGGAGAAGAAAAATTGTTTCTAGTCACAAATAAAGCAACTGAAAGCTCAAGTCAACATAACATTATTAATGTAATTTTTACCACTAAACCATATTCAAGCTTTAAATGAGATATATACAGTGTAAGTTTAAGAATTTTTTGATGAAGATACTGTCACAGTTCTAATAGTCTACAAATAACAGTGAAAAATTATGAACAATCTAAATTTCCAACAACAGAAATATAAATTATGTGATCTATATATATGCTAATCTTACACAAAAACCAAAAATATTCTCAAAGTATTTAATAACATGGATAATTCTCATATTGCAACATTAAGTAGGGAATAAATATTTGATCCCAAAATATACATGCAAGTATAACCCCAATTAACAAACTATAATAAACAAGTCTTCCAGAATGGCTAGAAGCAATGAACAATCAATATATATGTATGCATGAAAAATATATATATATATATAAACTTTTGAGAAATCTGTATTATTTTAACCATTAAGCAATAGTAAAATATTGAGAGAAACTCAAGCTAATTATCAGGTTCTAGGAGTTCAATAATAAATTAGTAAGGTCCAGACAATTAAAAATGTTTCTGTAACTGTTAGCTGCCTAAATCTGCTAATTTTATATTCTATTACCCTTAAATTATGAATTTTAGATTAAAAAAAATAATCATTAGGGGTGCCTGGGTGGCACAGTTGGTTGAGCATCCGACTCTTGGTTTCGGCTCAGATCATGATCTCAGGGTCCTGGGATCAAGCCCCGAGTTGGATTCTGCGCTCAGCACGGAGTCTGCTTGAGATTCTCTCCCCCCACCCCTCCCACTCGCGCTCTTTCCCTCTCTCTCTAAGTAAATAAATTTAAAAAAATCATTACAGTCATCTAACAGAAAACTCCAAATTAATCTAAAAGGAGAAAGATACTATAGAATCATTGTCATGGAATGAGGCAATCTAAAACCTAGTTCTGGGTCTGACATACTACTTCACAGGATGCTGAATCAGAAAGCCCAGTATCACACACTAGACAAATTTGGTGAGATTAGGAGTTAATTTGGATCTCAAGTTCTTTTTTTTATTATGTTATGTTAATCACCATACATTACATCATTAGTTTTTGATGTAGTGTTCCATGATTCATTGTTTGCGTATAACACC